AGGCCAAGGAGGCGTACCAGCGCTGCTTAGATACCCCACGCTACTCGTACAAGCCCTGGTCCAAGCTCCTGGACACGTACGCGGACGAGGGCGATATCCAGCGGACGCTCCAGGTCGCCGTCCGGGTCGCCGCGTACCAGTGGGGCGAGTACACCGAGATGACGGTACGTTCCCCTTTCACCAATATTGCGTGCTGCGTCTAAACAGCCGTCCACAGTACCCCACGCAAATCGCGCGCTGCTTCTTCAAGCTCGGCCAGATCCACGGCCACGCGAAGATCTCGTACACGCTGCTGAGCATGGGCCTGCCCGACCCCGTTCTGAAAATCATGGAGAGCTACCTCCACTACGGCCGCACCTTCAAGGTCGAGGGCTACGACTTCTGAGCTCTGACCTTGCTGCCGTGGCCGCCGTTTTCTCTTTCGGATCGGTCTTCTGGAATTGTAGACTCTTGTATGTAGTTGCGCTGCTGCCGTTCGCGTCTGCCCGTGGGCTTCAGGAGCTTTTTTTAGCTAGGTATCTTATTTCCGATGAATACCCTTCACTTTCCCAGATCGTCAGCTCACCGTGTGCTGTCGCGCCGTCGCGGTGATTCGGGTTTACAAGAACGTATAGCTCCAACGACCTGAGTGCGTACTGTGATCAGCTCTTGCCGCCACCACCACACATTCTGGCGCGAGCCTCAACGCTAACGAAACCTCTTATGGACAGGATTGATTTCCTTCCATTGCGTGAATGATATGCCCTAGCCTGACAAATGGCAGTTGCTCAAAGTTGTCTAAATGCCAATATGTATTGCAAGGACTCGTATGACATAGCCTATGGTAATGAAACCAGAATTATGCAGAGCGGAAACCGATTCGTATGCTACATCGTAACTTGTGTGTATGATAGTACATGATTGAAGTGATTCGACCCGGGTCCCTGTGTGATATGTAGTATGTACGATGCACGATAGCCTAGGCACAGCGTGGGCAAACCGACCGGAAAAACAGGATGTGAGGACTGAAACAAGGCAACTTGGTTGGTAGTACATAGGTCCGAAGTGTGACGGCTCTTGCTAACTTATCGGCTCTACCGTCATTGACGTGGACGTCGAGGACACATCGTCGAGAGACGAGACGGAGGACATCGCGTCCAGCGGGACCGAATGAGCAGGTTGTGCAGGTCGTGCAGGTCGTCGATGCAGTTCGGATTGTGCTTGGAAAGTGCCATTCGAGCTGGTAGATGCAGAGTAATCGGCACCATCTCGGGGCGCGCCCGAAGTCTTCTCGGCATTGGCTTCCTGCGCGGCCGCGAGGGACGCCAGTGCGTCGCGGTCTGCGAGCGCGGAGAGGGCTTTCTCTGCCGACGAAACGAGCTTCTTCAAAGAACCTGCAGTAAATCAGGTGAGGGCCGAGAGGTAGGTATGGGTGCCGTCGGACATGCTCACGTTCAAGACTTAACATGAACAACGTCTGTAAGTGACCAGGTCGATATCAGCGTATGCACAATTGCACAAGATGTTATTAAACTGACCTTCCGCGCATCTTCATCTTGTAGGATCTCTGTTTTCACCTGCCTATTGATGTGCTCAATATCTGCCAGCTCGTCCAGCAGCTTCCGCATGTCTGGCGGGATCTTCGGCAGTCCACGTTCGTCCTCTGCGTCTTGATCATCCATCGCGTCGATCCCTTCTGTCGCCCCCGAGACAAAGAATTGTATGTAGTTCTGGAACGTCCGTGCGCCGCGCACGATCTCCCCCGGGAGCGCCTCCAAGGCCTTCTGGGCAATGTCCTGGGACTCCTTCATTCGTTCCGCGATCGGCTGGTCTCCATCTCCGTCTTCTGTACGGTAGGAATGCGAGCTTCCGTCGGGGTGACGCGAATGTCGCGGCCGAGAACCAGAGGCGAGAGCAGAGCCTTGGACAACGGGCCGTGGGCGCTGTTTGCCTTCTTGCAGCTGTCTCTTGCGGTACTTCTTGACAGCCTTGTCGAACACTTGAGAATGCAGTGCGCTCTTGTATCGCGATGAACCGGCCTCTTGCACAACTGCAAGGACGGTCATTGAGTGAGTTGCTATCGCTGTTCATGGAGTCAATGACTTACCAGACACGACAATTGTTAGGGTGCCGACCCCGAACAAAGCCCATACGACGAAGACAGAGCGGCCCGCAGGTGTGACAGGTGCGAAATCACCATAGCCGGTGGTGACGAACGCTAAGAAACCTGCGCTCTAGAATCAGTTGTGATGCAAAACGAGGTGCGGATGAATGCCTACAAAAATACATGGCGCTGCCATACGGCCAGCCTTCGGTGGCTGAAAAGATACCGGAGCCGACCTACGAGAACTTATCAATAAGCGGCAGCGACGACAAGCTGTTGGACTCACTGTCCAAAACACGAAGAAAAGGGACCATGCGATAGAGAGCTGTACCAGAAAGCCAAGTTAACTATGTGCCCTGGGTCGCGAGACAGACGAATACGCACCTTCACATAGTACGCCCGCTTCTCTTCCGCGTCGATTTCCGATTGAAGCCTCTCGTACGTCCAAGCCGAGCGCTGTACAGCGCCGCGCGAGTGGTCTTTCAGCCATTTCGATCCTGGATGCTCCTTTACGTCCGAGCGCGACCGTCCCCATCCATGAGTGCGCTGCTGACTATCGAGGTCATTTTCACCCGAGATGCCGCGCTGTTGAGGGGCGTTTTCCTCATCGTCATGCGACTGCTCTCCTTCCACATCGGACTGTGGCTTGGGCGCATGGGCGTGGCGAACCGCAACGGCCACCGCGAACTTCGTCAGCATCGCCGCCATCCGACCGACCTGAGCGTGCGTCGGAGTTTGCGCATGCGACGGCCATCCGCTCGCCATGTTATCGCGAAAGGCGTGGTCGGCATGCCCTTGAGCTAGCGCCTGTACGATATCCTTATGCCCCTGTCCTGTGGGCAAGCCGCCGCCCTCTTGCGCGTCTCCGTCGCGCCGCTCGCCAAGGTCGAGGAACAGCTCCAGCGGGACTCCGGCCTCAAGCGCAGCCTCCTCGAGCTGGCCGTTGTTCAAGGCGTTGACGTTAAGGTGCATCCCGCGATGTCTCGTGAAGTGCCTGTCGACGACAGACTCGAAAGTCGCCGTGCGCTTGATGTGCGTCCCGACACGCTTGATGAAGGGTACCCGGGTGGTGACCTTCGGTAGCAAACCAAGGAAGCGGACGCCGCGGTCATCATCGCGCTCCTCCTTGTCCGACACCCACACGGGCAAGCCAGCTTCCCGCAAACGGAACTCAACGGCGCGCTGCCAACGAGCCTCCCAGCGCCGGAACCTGCGCGCTTCGCGTCGCCGCTGTCGCATGTCGCGCATACGCCGTCTGTACCCGATCTCGAGGCCTTCCAGGATCGTCTCGCGACACATGGCGATGGCCAAACCGATGTTGATAACACCGAATAGGATGTAGACGCATGTCCAGACGCGTGCGCCGGTAGTCTTTGGGACGATGTCGCCGAAGCCGATAGTTTCGATGGAGACGACGGAGAAGTAGAGGCCGTTGATGAAGCTCTGTTTGAGAAGGATGGAGTTGACGAGGGCGCCGAAGGCGATGTATACCAGCAAGACTATGACCATGATCATAAGCCCACGCTGCTTGCGCGTTAGGCCGCTACCTGCGAGACATGATAGCCGTCAGTATGTGGCACGCTCCCAGGAGGTGTTATGCTTACCTCGTCTCGCAAAGTCAGGGGTACGGATGAGATCAACAATGAGACTAATGTTGGTGATACTCGAAGCAATCGTGGAGCAGAGTGTCATCCAGAAGGCTTCGCCGTACGTGAAACCATCGTCGAAACGATGTTCAACTCCGAACACGGTGACGGCGACTATATTGATGACATCTGTAGAGTAATGTGAGCGTCATATCTACAAAGCCTGTCCGTGATTGTTGACGTACCGTGAATTGTCAGGAAGACGATGCAGAGCAAAGTAACGGTCTGAACGCGTTTCTCCAGAAACCGAAGGACGAGGGCGACATTGGCTGTCAGTCCGCATGCAATCGAAATGGCTAGGCCGATCTCCAGGATCGGCGGATTCTTCCTCGTCTCCACAGTCTTACCGCCTTCAGTCCGGATGTACCACCGCTCTGTAAGGCCGGGGATCTCGAGTAGGATGGAGAAGGGTATCACAATCCCGGATATGATAGGTGTCCAGCGGTAGTTGGGTACGAGGCTGTCCAGGTCGTTCTTGTCGTCGGCCGGCCAGATGTACGACTTGAGACGAGAGTATAGAGATGTCCCTAGGAGTGTGACGTCATCGGACGAGCTACCCTCCTCCGCTGTATGTCGAGCGGTGGCCACCTTCTCCGGGTCGGACGTCTGTGGTGCGCTGCGGCTGGGTTGGAGGAACAGAAAAAGCGCAGATAGACTGAAGAGTCCCATTCCGTCGTGAAAGGTGGGCCAAGGGGAGATGCTAGTGTAGCAGCGAGGAGTTCCTGCGATATCGGACGAGCATAGTCAGTATCTATGACCGGGTGAAGACTCTGCAGAGACCTCACTGCAACCTCATGGCAATGTCACGGATGCGCGAAGAAGGAAAGTAGACTGAGATAGTGCGCGGAGCGAGTCGTCCGGAGCGCGCTCCCCCTCTTTGCAAGGAACCTGGCGGATGTTCGGTCAGTTGAGATACTGCACCCCTTGCAATGGCAAAAACGGCTCACCGGACCTGTGAATATGCTGTATACGAGAGAAGCGAAGAAACCGACGCGAGTAGTTGGAAGAAAGGTACCTGCTGGGTTATGAACACATCTCCGCAGTGAAACTGAACTTGCGCTGCAGCGGATCTTGGAGCAGGGGCCTCGGCGGCCTCGGCCCGGTATAAGCGGCAGTGTGTGCTCGTCTTCTGGCACGCTGAGTGCACGTATATGGGCTCTAGACTTTCAGAGAAAGTGAGAGAACATACACAACACGATTCTGCACATATACGCCTGTGTAAAATTTGCCAAAACATAGCACTTGATGCCATAGAAAAAGAAAGAAAAGAATGACCACCGCAGGGGTCGAACCTGCAATCTCCTGATCATTACGTAAGATCGTAGTCAGACGCGATGCCATTTCGCCAGGCGGCCATGTGGAGACATGTCTTGCGGTAATAAATAGCAAATGATACTTATGGGCCGATATGTTTGTTTTTACGAACCTGTCTCTCCTGTTCTGCATCTCGACCTCCATCGCCGCGACGATCTCTGCCTGCTCACCCACCATGTCGCTCGAAAAATACCAGACAGAGCTCATCGAGCACGGCATGTCCGCCGGTGCGCTCAAATTCGGCACCTTCACCCTCAAATCAGGCCGGTCCGTCTCCTCCTCAGGCTGCGCGCCGCTCTCCCCTTGAACCGCTCCCTCACCCCACCCGCCCCGCGCAGCACCTCGCCGTACTTCTTCAACGCCGGCCTGCTCGCGTCCGGGCCCGTGCTCGACACGCTGTGCTCCGCGTACGCCGCGACGATCGCGCGCGCCCTGCAGGCGTCCCCCGGCCTGCCCGCGTTCGACGTGCTCTTCGGGCCCGCGTACAAGGGCATCCCGTTCGCGGCGGGCACCGCGCTGCTCCTGCACCGCGACCACGGCATCACGGTCGGGTTCGCGTACGACCGCAAGGAGGCGAAGGACCACGGGGAGGGCGGGATCCTCGTGGGCGCGCCGGTGCGGGGCAAGCGCGTGCTCGTGCTGGACGACGTCGCGACGGCGGGCACGGCGATCCGCGGGGCGATCGAGACGGTGACGAGGGAGGGGGGCGAGGTTGTGGGTGCGGTGTTGATGCTGGATCGGCAGGAGGTGGGGAAGGAGGGGAAGAGCACGCTGGCGGAGGTGGAGGCGCTGCTGGGCGGGAAGGGGCGCGTGCCGACCATCCTGAAGATGAAGGACCTCATGGAGTGGTTGCAGGAGCATGGGCGGACGGAGGAGCTTGCGAAGATGCAGGAGTACTGGGAGCAGTACGGCGCAAAGGAAAGCGAATGAGAAGACGTCAGAAATGTCGAAGGTAGTTGTATGCTAGGTGAGAAACACCATGCTCCGTTCGTTTATCTACTAAACCACATATGAAGACCCACCGTGTCCGTGTCTGTGATGTTCAGCGCAGAGAGCCAAAGATGCGAGAGTACACATGTCATTCAGCCGATATATAACACAAGAACATGTAGCAATAGAACCTACAAAAGACAAAGCATGATGAGCATGACTGCAAAAGTACCAACTAGCGATAAACCGACTGACCGCGGACATCACCGCTCTCACTCGCCCAACCGACGACCCGTACCCCAGCTGTGTCCTCGCACACCACTCGCTGCTGCTGCCGCTTCCTCCCTGACCCTCCGTGGGGGCACAACATGCACGCCCCCGCCGACATTCGCAACACCCCCGACCCCACCCGTCGCGCCTCCACTCGCAGACTCCCCAAACCACCCGCGCAGCCACGCCGGCGCCGTGCCCGCACTCCTCAGCGAACCGGTGTCAAAAACAGTCCACCACCAGAGGTGGCCGACGACGGCCCCAGAGATGCTGATGGCCGCGGCGCCGGGGCCACCCATGAGGAGGTCCATGCCGACGAGCATGTACGGGAGGTAGATAACGGGGAAGGTGATGAGCCCGAAGAAGGACGTCTGGGACCCGGGCGGGGCGAGCCGGGAGGAGACGTAGGTGAGCGCGAGGAGGAGCGCGCGGGTGTGCACGAAGGTGCCGAGGGGGACATTGAGGCCCTGGTGAGGGGCGGGTCAGTGCAAGAACTGGAAGTGATATGGATGAATCCGACGTACGAGGATGGCAAGGCCTGCGAGGGAGAGCTGCCACGCGTAGTCTGAAGAGCGGCGGGGGAAGTGTGTTGTTTCTAGCTCGTTGGAATTTCGACTGGTTGAAAGTATGCGACCCTCAGTATCAACATGAATTGCGACAGCGTCGTACGTACTAGAGCATCGCAAGGTCGAAGATAAAGTTGATCCCTGAGCCTATGAAGATGCGGTCAGCACCGACATGTCTCATGGTCGAACAAGAATGAGTACGCACTTCCCAAGAAGAAGCTCGTGAAGACTCTCCAGATCTACATTGAGACGTGAGTACCGCATACCTTGTCTCTCATTTGTATAAAGAGACCCAGAAACTAACCTCAAACTTCTGCGTAACGAACTCTTTCACAAAGACGACCTTGTATATTGGCAAGATCTGCAGGAGGACCGGCAGAGTGACCGCGAGGGAGGAGGCGCAGAGAAACCGCGTAACGGGTGGGATTTTGCGAATCTCATCCATGAAAGACATCCTGAGCAGAGCGATAAAAGTACAGCGTGCAGAGCGGAGGCAGCGGGAGGGACAATGTGGAGGAGAGCAAGCTGGGGGAGGAGTGACCTCACTTGCCGCGTGGCGGACCACGTAGACCTTACCGCGGTCACGTGCAGAGTACAGGCGCGTCGCGTCGCGTGCGTTCTCGATCCTTCTTGCAACTCTTCTCTGCCTTCGTACTCCACGCTACGCGACATTAATATAGTGATCAAGCGGCAACGCACGCAAAAAAAATAAATACAGTAAACTCCTATTAGTTGAGTTACAAACGCGCGAGACCCCCTCCAAGACCAAGCACGCAGAGCAACGTCCCCTCACCTACAATCGCGCCGACCTTGATACCTCTGCCCAACCTCACGACGTTGCCGCTCGCAGGTGCAGCCACGACGCTCTCCATCTTCATCATGGACACCACAACCAACGCCTCTCCTTTCCGCACGAAACTCCCGTTCTCCGAGCCTTCCGTTGCCGTGGTCAGAGCCGGGTGGAGCTCCACGATCTTGCCTGACAGAGGAGACGCTACATGTGTGGGATCCTGCGGGTTGGCGAGTTCGATGTGCGAGGACGTTGAAGTGGAAGAGAGCTGCGTCAAGGAGAACGAAAGCGGCGTCGAGACGAGCGAGGTGGTGATCGTCCCCGAAAGCTGGCTGGGGAATGCGTTGTGCCCCAAAGATGAGAGAACCAAGGTGTGTTTCTGCGCCTGTTCGGCTGACGAAGCTTGGGTGGCCGATGAAAGTGACAGCTGGAACGATGCACCGGGCTGCAGCAGGACTGTCCCCGACGCGTTATCCGCCTCGCTGAGATGCCGGTCTGAGCGACTACGCGATGTCGAGCTCGAGGCTGGTATATCACGATGAAAGTGCTGCCTCCCGAGAGACAGAATCTCATCGACATGGTCTTCGAGCCAACGGGTGTGTACCGCGCCTATGGTCCAATCTGGATGAGCCATAACGCCTGCAAGGAGCTCCACGTTCGTCTTGACATCCCCTCGAACGCGAGTCTCGCGTAGGGCTCGCAGAGCGCGGGTGGTCGACTCCTCCAATGTCCCAGAGTGAACTACCACTTTCGCCAAGAGGGAGTCGAAGTCCACACCGACCGTCCACTGAGGGTGAGGGCCACCGTGAGAGCCGGTCCCTAACCATGTGTCGACACGCACGCCGCGGCCAGCTGGCCAAGATACGTCTGTAGGGCGGATGGTCCCTGTAGATAGCTGGAAAGATTTCTGAGGGTCTTCGGCTACCAGACGCAGTTGAATGGCATGCCCTTGTGGTAGAGGAGGTATAGGCGAATGCATAGGCAATACCGAGGAAAGGGAAGCTCCAGGTTGGGATAATAGCAATTGCACTCGTACGAGGTCCAAGTTCGTGACTTCCTCTGAAAACCCGGTCAGCGTACGCCTGCATAGTTAAGGCCGTCCTCAAGAACCTACCAGTGACCGTGTGCTCGACTTGCAGTCTAGGGTTGATCTCCAGGAAGATCCATTCGTGCGACTGGCCATTGACGAGAAACTCGAAGGTGCCCAAACCCTTGTATCGGAGGTTGCGTGCCATCTTCAGTGCAGCTTGTAATAACGGCTCAACCGACTCGCGCGGAAGAGTAGACGGGGCCATCTATGAGTCGCGTCATGCCGCTCAACACCTCAGGACACACAAGAGCACTGCGCGCTATTACACACCTCGACGATCTTCTGAAACCTGCGCATATAAGCATCCATATAGCATACATCCTGCTGAGAACACCTACCTCCGTTGAACGCTGCACTCCCTTTCCCACAAATGCGTCGCTTCCCCCGCGCCGTCGCCCACAATCTGTACCTCGACGTGCCGCCAGCCGGGACCGACAAACGCTTTCTCCGCAAATACAAGCCGCGATGCACTCTCCCCCACACACCTCCGAAAGGCGTCCTCCACCTCGTCTGCGGTATGCACCAGGCGGATGCCTCGGCCGCCGCCGCCATCGAGGGCTTTGATGACCGCGGGGAATCCGTTTGCCTTGGCGAACGTTTGCACGTCTTCGGCGGATGTAACATGGGTCCCGGGCGCGACGGGCACGCCGAGAGATGTCGCGAGCTCCCGCGAGCGCATCTTGTCTGACGCGATCTCGAGGACCTCGACAGACGGCCCTACGAACGTTACGTGCTTGGCCATCGAGGGGATGGCGGGAGAATTCCCAAAGAGCGAAGCGAGCTTGGGGCTCTCGCTGAGGAAGCCATAACCGGGGTGGACGTGTGTACAGTCGGTTCTGCGAGAGTAGTATGAGGGTGAGCGTTGAATCAAGATGCCAACCGGGCCTGCGCGTACCGATGTGCGATGTCGGCGATGTGCTCTGGGTCCATATATTTCGCTGGGGAATCTAAGAGAATAGCCTCATCGGCATACGATGCATGAGAGGCGTCGTTTTCGGTGTAGAGCGCGACTGTACGCCAGCCGAGCTCAGATGCAGAGCGACATATGCGGATTGCAACTGACGCATTGGGGGCATTCAGCGTGATATACGGACCAGCGAGGAATAAAAGCTCTCACCTTCGCCTCGATTTGCGATAAGGAGCTTCGGGCTTTGGCTATCCATGTTGTCGCCGTCCTTCACCTCTATGGACTTCTCTGCAGCAAGGATCCTCCTCACGACGCGAGGTCGGAAAGGAGCTGAGCTTCGAAGTCGTCGATATATGGGCGCGTGATTCAGATTCGGCTACTGGTGGGAACCATCGTGACCAAAACAGCCACCACTACGGTCTCGGACAGCCGTTGCACCCGGTAGCCGTTGGGCTGGTTGCGTTGTGTCTAGGGCTTGTCGTGCAATT